GATTTGGAATCAGCATTAAATTTCAATTCGGAAAATCGAAGTTTTAAAAAAAGCTTAAATCAATTTCCAAAAGTAGGCAGTCACCTTAACTAACATGGCAGCCTTGTTTCGTCCTATTTTTCAGGTTCGTGTACATCATCATAATGTGCATGCAAAATTACGAAAAACTTGAAAAAAAATTGCTTAGAAAAATTCTCAGTTATTTTTTCCATTTTATTAAAAGTAGCTTTAGTTGCAGAAAATAGCCTGGAATGTTAAATTCACTCTCTTAGTTGCGAAGTCTGTCGGGCTAGAGTGATTCTAGTTGGTCTGTGAAACGAAGTTATTCCCTATAGTATTATTTCTTTGCTTAACGGTTGCAGTAAAAAATAATTTGTCTGAAATTGGAAAATATTACTCCAAAGGTAAAGAGGTCTATTAGTATCTAACAATCAAAAGAAAAAAACAAAACTACGTGTTGTCTGTACTATGTAGTGTATCAAATTGTTATGAATATCATTACAAATTACTTTAATTTATTAAATATGTGCTTGGAAATTATCGATATCTTAATTTCACGGCTTAGTTGAGCAGGATTTTGAATGAGTAGGGGTCAAAATTTTGTAAACTTGCAATGGTCGTATCGCCGGCTTTCTGCAAAGCCGTAGGACTAAAGAAATTTAACAAAACCAATGGTAAGCTATGTCGATGGTATGTATACCAGAATTTTTTATATACGGTATCATGTACCGTATACGTGCGGTAAGACAAATACCGTATAATTCCCACTACTCTTTCAGCTACTTTTTCCCGCTAACTTATATACTTATTTCAATAAAGTTAATAGTCGCCTGAAATGCTCCAAAGCTGAGATTGGCAATAATTGAGGGGTAAATAATTTTACATGTTTAGACCGCTTAATAATTATGGACGGATTTGAGATCTTTTACCAGTAACATCTAACCTCCTGTAAGCATCCTCAAGATGCAGGTTGTTTAAAGGAGCTTTAATTGCTTGATTTAAAATATTTCCCATAATCCTCAGCAGTCTCAGCTTTCTAGGTTTTTCTTGGTGACCAACTTTATTTAACTAAGTATATACATTCAATGTCATTAACGTTGTCCACCGAAAAAAGACATTTAGATATTTACACATTTAGACTAAAAGAAATATCACGTGTTTCCTCGAACGTTCTGTCATAAAACAAACGCTGAAATACAATTCTCCATCTTAAATCCTCACTAAATGGTCGGGGCATTCTGGATTTTCGAAACAAGTGATATATCTTTTAGTCTAAATGTGTAAATGTGTAAATGTCTTTTTTCGGTGGACAACGTTAATGACATTGACCATACAAGAAGCTGTGATTCGATGAATTGTATGGAAGAGAACAAACAGTACTTCTAGGGCTGTAAGAAGACACGTTTTCTGGTTCATATGAAAAATTCTTTCAACACTGTACCAGTTCCCTTTTATTCATCTAAAGGCTCTACCTTGATTCGCTTTGTACTGGCCACGCTTTCATTTTGACAGGCGATTTCACTCAAGGCACTGTCATATTCCGTCAGTTTTCTTTTCACCTCGGAACAATGTTCATTACGAATTTCGATAGTTTTGAGCGACTGTTCTGACAGACTTTCTAATTCTAAAATCTTGGCGTCAAGGAACTTCAAACGCTTGTTCGGCTCGATTCTAGACTTCTCCAGCTCTTCAAGCCTTTGTAGAAGCTTTCTTCTTTCTCGTTCTTTGAGTTGATCTTCCTCAATGATTGCATCTCGCTCGTCTTTATATTCGCTCAACAACAGACAACATCGACTCCCTTTTTTCTCCACTTCTCTCATTTGTTTGGTATAATCGAGGAGATAGGTTTCCAGTTTTTGTCGTTTGTCTTTGAGCCTTGCTTCGAGTAGTGTCACCACATCGTCCTCTTCCTTTATCAGCTTCATGAGTGGACTACATGTTCTACAGTAACAAGCATTGTTGCCACCATGTTGGCATGAAGGACTAACTGATTGAAACTGTGGGTCACTCGCTTTTCTTGTTTCTGCAGAGCTACGGAGACTAGCGGTTGTTACCCCGATGCGTTCGCTACGCTCCTTACTACCAGTAGACTTTCGCCGTGTTTCAGATCTCTGCCTCACTTGATGTGAAATGTAAGCCAACGAATGTTGATCAAACTCGAGCTGCTCGCTTCCATCACCTCCTCCTGGAGAACCAATGACATCTTGATTGACTCTATTGACCGATAAATCCTCCGTATCTATGGCAACGACGTTGGTTAAATTCACTGATATCATTCCAGCAATGTTGACATCCATTTTTTGATCCGTGCCGCTTGGAGAATGCCTGGATGACGGACTGTCAGAATCCTGATGAAAGATCAATTCAGGGGAAGAACTGGTTTGCTTATTTCCATCACCAACACCACTCGCCATGCACGCAGTTGTGGAACTCGTTGAAGAAGCTGATGAATCCACTTCGAGAGTCTCAACTTCATTTGTCTCCTCGCAGACAATTCTTTCATTTCTGGACTGAGTCGATTTGCTTTCTGACCGAGTGTGTGGTTTTTTCGATCTCTGTCTTGGCCGCGACGTTTGGATCTTTGTAGGTCTTCCAAAGCTTGGGTCCCATTCACCAATATGTAAGTCAACAGAAAATGAAGTTGCGGAATGATCAGCACCTTGGTCGTCAGTGGAGCCGAGCTCCTTGGCTACGGAATACGTCTGGCTGTTAATAGCGATATCAAAAGCGCTTTTGCCTTCCTTATTCAAGCAGTTTTTATCGAGAACATGGTTAAATCGCCTGATCACATAACGCATTATATTAAAAGAAGCGTTCCTCCTGGCAAGAATGTGCAGTATTGTCTCAGAATTATTATTTTTATAGTTCAAGACTGAAGAAGTGTCTGAGCTTTTAGCCGAACTTTTATCTCCTGTCAGGCTTCTCAACATTGTAACCATACAGTTCTCAAAATACTCTAGTTCAGAGGTGGTCCCCTCTTGGCTGATAATCAGCTTTGCGCAAGTATGGAAGGGAGTATTGCCTTCGTTGTCTTGGATTGTTAACAGGTCTGGACAGCTGCCCATCAAAAGAGAGAGCAGATGAGAAAATAAGGTAAAAATCTCGCGTGCACTCATACCATCTAGCTGCTTGATTGAGTACAAGCATTTCAGCATCCGGTGAACTGCACTCTCGCCTGTTCGATCGCAAACAGCATTGGTACGAAAATTCATCTTGATAAGCCATTCCAGTGCAAAATCCTTTCCCAAGACTGTGGCCCAGTGAATGAGAGGGGTCTGGAACTCTATCAAGGGGTCTACGACATTAGCATGTGGGTTCCAGCCCTCTTGGAGAGCCTGGAAGAGAGACTGCTTTAAGCTGGCTAATCCTTTAATCATGCGCTTGTTGTCAGGACAGGTGACAAGACACACGATCAGCTCACAATGCTTGACGGAACAGGTTTTCTTGCAGAAGGGTGTGTGCCCTGGCTGACACTGGGTGATTTCCATGACCTAGTAGAAAAAAGCATTGGATTAGTTTGTGATATTTTTCTAATGTTGATCAGCAGAAATGGACTGTACCCTCCCCTCCCTTCTATCTTCTTCCCTCCGGTTCACAACCACAGGAAGCCCAACGCAGCCTTTATGCAAAATGTACTTCAATGGGAAATGCAATCAGATAAGAATTATATCTATCGTGGATATAACTATAAATATAAATATAAATAAAAGTGGTTATAAGTTGAGGTTGGACTTGGTGTCTTCATAGATTAACTGTATTTCATCAGGTCCATTCCAAAATTATAGAAGCTATTGTTTAGTCAATCATATTTGAGAATGGTACATGGATTGGAATTTATAAAACATTCATGGACAATGAATGACTTAATAATTACAGCTGAAATGCTTTTGCAATCACAACTGTGAATAACCACACTTTTAGGCCTTCTTATGGGAATAGCTTGAAGCGAGTCTCCAAGTGGCAAGTTAAATATTTTCCATATTCACTGAGCCTGGGTTGAATAATTGTTTTGGAATAATAATTTTAGACTTGAATATCAGAGAAAAGCCAAAACTCCGAGGATAAAAAATTTTCTTTAGCATTTCTTCTGCTCTCTGGCAAACTTTGGAAACCTCTTAATAGTCCAGTTTCGAATTCCAAATTACCGCTGTGTTCCTTGATTACAGACTCATTTGCACAGGCTTAGCCTCGAATCAGTGTTAAATATTCACAAATACCAACGGTAAAGTAAAGAATGCACAACTTCAACAATACAAACACTTTGAAACTCAACGGACCTTGACTGGAACACGTGAATATTCTTCACAAAATCGAGGCTAACCCTGTGCAAATGAGTCTGTAATCAAGAAACACAGCGGTAATTTGGAATTCGAAAAGGGTCTAGTACACTCTCTCAGTAATATATCATGTCATAATCACTGGTCGCTTGACAAATCATATATACCACACAAGACTCTATATTCCAGTCTAAAATTATACTAAACATGTATATTCCATTGGGAAAACTACTCATTTGATACAGCAGTAATACAAGCAATTAGGGTAAACTTTTCAGGTTGGGTTTCCTGTGTGTTCTTCCTTTTCTACAGTGTGTCCCTAACTGGATCCCTGTTATTAGTAGCTTCATTCAGATTATCTCTGAATCTTTATCCCTAAAGCAAACCAACAACGTTTTTCCTAAACGCTTAATCTTGGCTTTCACTAAAAACTGACCAAGTTATTCTTTTATCTTCCTTATGTTAACTTAATACGTATAATCTTACGTATACTGTTATCGTGTTTATTATCATCCCTTATCCCTAACACTCTTTACACGGTCTCATATATAGCTTATTTATTGACTTTCGATCGCTTTATTTTGCTAATAAACTTATATATTCAAAAAGAAAAGAAAGGCCTAGTACTAGATATCAAGAAGAAAGCTAAGGAGAGATTACGGCGACAACTGCCCAAGGGCTGATTGTCGATCAAGATGGACGAACAACACCAAGGTGACAAAAAAAAGAAATGACAAAAAATAAAGCTTTTTAATCAAAGATACAATGAAAATACTAAACTTACCATTAATGTAAATCCTATAAATCTTTTTTCTTGCTTTGATTCCAAGGAAAACTTGAATTTCAGCCAATTTTGACAAGTTAAAATCTTTCAACTCAGTGTTCTTTGAAATCAATAAATACGCCAGCCGACACACAGGGAGCCCAACCATACATTTGTTTTACTATGACGTCATTGCAGGAACGCTCGACCGCAAATATTTCGTTCAAAGCACAGGTATTCCAAGATCAGCTAGAAAATTCATTTTGGCATTTTTTTTTTTTAAAACGTACTTGTTTGTATTGATCCCCTGTGGGTCTGGGATGAGTTTGAGGCCAAACCGTTAAGAATTTCACAAGTTTCAGTGAAAACATTTATACTGAACTGATTGGTCTCAAACTAATCCGAAACCCAAATGGAGGAATAGAATATGAAGGATTACAGGATTATATTCTTTTATTCAGTCCAAATATCGAGATATTGTTTTTTTTCTTATTGCATTTCTTTGATTGATGCTAGTCGGCGAAGGAGACATTGAACTTCGCGGGTCGCACTTCAACGACAATGGTAGTAAATTAGTTAACAAAGACGACTTATGACAATCACTCAAGTAAATTATTTCCTATACTTTATTTTCTTCAAATTTATTATGCACTTCTTGGCTTTCATCAGAAAATTTCCGTCTAAAATTAGGGCATCTCATAGAAATACGCCCCATAAATTGAGCCCCAATTCATTCTTCTTGACTAACTGACTCGTCAGCCTGGGTTTTTCGTTTTTTCGAGGCTTCGATCAAGTTCCTGGAAAGGAAAATATAAGACAGTGTAAATATGAGAATAATTTGATAATAATAATTATTTGGTAATAATAATAATTTACTAATTTATTTTATTAATCATTTTATAATGATTAAAGGCACATTAGCACTATTAACATATCGCTATATCTATATCTATTACTATAACAGTAATATTATCAAAACATACTATTAAAACACTTAATACATTAATAAATGTAAATATTGTAACGATAAAATATAAAAATAGTAATATCTAGAATGACAAAAAGTTAGAAATATCAAGTTATAAGCTAATTTTAAAAGGTGATTCTTCAGATGATGTTAAAAAGTTCACAAGAGAGTAAGTTCCATAGCAGCTTTTGAGCAGCAAGAATGAATGTACTGTCTGAGAGTGTATCTCTAGATTTAACAGCAGGCGATTTGGTTCGTGCCAAGAAAGTTGAATGCTGCATTCAAGTCGTTACCTTTTTCTTTTAGCCTTGTTTAAGTCATAGGTTGTCACTGTTTTGATGGTTGACCTTTTCACTGGTGCTGTCGTAAGGTGCTTCTTAGTTTTTCTGAAAAGTAACGATTATTCCATTTAGAAAAAGTGATTACTCGCTGGTTATTAGTTTGTTAGTGTGTGTTTGTTTCTGTTTTTACTTGATTTTTGTTTTTGTTTGTTCGTTCTTTGTTTCTTCGTTTCGTTCTTTGTTTCTTCCTTTCTTTCTTCCTTTCTTTTTTGTATCAGTTCTCGTTCGTTTGTTTCTAAAAATGTCACATGCCTGCTAGGTTTCTTGATCTTCAGCATCCAGTCTGGAATTTTGCATCCTGAAGTTTTCATTACATTTGCTATGCTATAAAGAAACAAAATAAAACGAAACAAAATAAGGATTTTAAAAAATGGATGAAATAAATAGAAAGTTCGATACGTGATTTAATAATTAATAGATCTACCTTCTTAAGTAAATGACATCAGCTTCAGTGAAGAAGGTCACTGCCTTACCCGCCCGTCCAGCACGTCCTGTCCTACCTGTTAGCAAATAGTAGAAGATAATATAGGTAAGTTGTAGTGCTTGGGAACGAGGTTATTCCGGGCGAAAGCCCTTGGAATTAAATTCGGAAAAATTAATTTCCGACCTCGCTGGGATTCGAACCCACGACCTTCGGAACTGTACTACCGATGCTCTACCAGCTGAGCTAGAGGTCAGACTGAGAGCAGGCCGGGGT